ATGACCAGGACAGAGGAGCTAAAATCGAAGAAATGAATGAAAATCTCTTTTTGTCTCATTCCAAGCTGCTATATCATAGCATGAAATAAAGTGGATAAAGGCAATGCATAGCACTACATTCCTTTCTGGATGTGCCTGTCAGTCACACACGAATGGTTGTCAAGGGCTGCCATTGGAACCCTTGCTCTATGTCATCAAATTCAGACATTATCATAGTCTACGATTAGCATCTTTTCACACTGATCAAGCCTTTCTCATGAAACATGGTGTTTAAAATTTCCACTCAAGGGAGTGTGAAAATATAATACATTTAATAAAATTATAATAAAGTTTCTTGAATCAACACAATATATTTAAATAGTTTGATTCTCCCAAATTAATTCAAATAAAGTCACATGACAAGAATTTGATCTTCACATATTTATTTTCTTGAAATATGCAAAAAAACAACAACATAAAAACAAATTAAAATCCACTTTGGATGAATAAAAACGAAACTGATGAATAAACAAAATATGCATACACAGCATAAACAGAGATGAATCTCCTTTCAAAAGAAAGGTTTGTATTAAAGGATTTTATCAAATATACCTTGAAACAAGGCAGCAAAATACATATGCAAAAATATAATCACACAGTGTTACTGTTGGTATAAAATGTAAAAATTATACCGCTAAAATTCTGGTGAAAAAAAAATAGTAATTACACAAACAACAACTAATTGTTGCATAGTTTCGAGGCTGGATTTTTCTTCTGTGGCCTTCACATAAAAATCTGACAACCACAAGAAACATAAATCCCACAAATAGCAGCAAAACACATCTTCTGCACAGTCAACAACCACTTTTGACCCTGAATTCAGTTATCTTTCACAGGCTCCTGTTAAAGCTCGACTGAAATCATATCGTATGAGCTAAAATAAATGTTTCCTTTTAAAAAAAGAAATACTCAGTAAAATGGTTGAAATGTGCCGCAGGTGCCCTTGAGAGTCTCCTTGTCGTAATGCAAATAATGCATCTTTTAACAGTCAGTAGATTTTTAACACAGAGATCCAGCTTGCATCACTGCCATTAAAAATGCGGTGGTTTGAATCCAGTTTCGATGACTTTTTGTAGTTCGTGTTTTGTTCTTAAAAGCACAGTGGAGCCACGTCATCCTCTGCATCGGGAAACAGGCGTAAAATGTCCCTTGAATATTTGGAGTAGCCGTTGTGTGTCAGCAGGGCTTTTCTTAACGTGAGCAATGACTTTGTTTTCTCCAGTAAGTCTGAGAGAGGGAGACCATTCTGCAGATGTTCTGCAATCAGAGCCTTCAGCTTCTCCACTCCGGTGCTGCATTTCTTCTCCAGCATGTGAAGTTTACATCTGAAAGAAAAGTCACAACAATGTTAACATATTTGTCCTTTTGGTGAAAAGTACATTTCTGGTGAACAGCTCGTACTAGGAATAGAGAAACAGAACTTCAGCTCACCTAAACAGTTGCTCCTTCATGGTGTCTTGAAGAGTGAGATCTGCGTAGAGAGCCATGACGAGGTCTGTTTTTTCTTGTGGGAAGTTCTGGTCTTGCTTGCAAAGGTTCAGACGACGTCTCTGTTTACTTCTGTGTGCCTGCTCCTTATTTATGCTGCTCATCTTGCGCTTTCACTGCTTTCTGGCCAATCAGGGGCCTCAGAGCTCAGGACAATAGAGCACATTTAATGGCTGTCATAGAGAACAGGTGGGATGCTTTATCTGTATGCCATACATAAGAGAGATCAGTGGGAAAATGCTCTTCCTGAAGTGGACACGGGAAAATTTTGTTTCCTTCTGTGAAGCTTAGACTATGCACATGGACCATGATGGGACATAGGACAGACACTTCAACGACACAAATCTAATCGACACTAAAAAGACTGTAAAATGTGCTGTGTGGATGATAAAACTCATTACTAACATATTATTAACATCTCAACTGCAACAGCAAATACTCACAACAACATTTTTTAAATACGTGACTTTTTATTCTCAAATAGCACCACTGTTTCTGTCTTTAATTATTTCTAATGATAAAAAAGACAACTCAAATGAATAATATTAAATAACTTTCAAAATGAAGTAAAAGCATTATTAATATTTTTAATGTTTAATATTTTCTCAGTCTCTTTTTCTCAGCAGCCAGTTATAGCAAAACCAGATGGTTGTGAAGTGGGCCTCTGTGCTTTCCCTGCCTGAGAATGGTCCCGAGGCTTTGTTAGAGCAGACACACTTCTATTGTGTGTGCTGCTGAGCAGGCTGCATACAGAAGTGTGGGAAGCCGTGTGTCGCTGTGGCTCCCAGCAGCAGAGAAAGAGGAGGGCGTGTGACTGGGGCACGTTCGGCCTTGTGCATGGAGCTGTGGGGGGCTCAGAGGCAGGGAAATGAGAAACCTGAGCCCCTACACAGACAGCACAGACAGATGGAGAGGAGATAAGCAGAGAATGTATACCCACTTGAGCCTGGTTATATGTCAGTTTTGCATTTTTTTAGGGTGCTCACTGTATTTAAAAGCACAACATAAAGATAAAAAGACATTACATCAGTCATTACAGAAACAGAAAACAGACATTTCTCAAAGGTTTTATAGTAAAATGTTCTTTTGACAGACTACAATAGTAGTATTGTAAGACTGAAAGTGGCTACTGATTTTTAACTAGTTGGTGTGCCCACGTGGATACTCTCGCCAGATACTTTACTAGGTATACCTTCTCAGGGTAACTATCTATCTATTTACATGTTATTTCAACAAAGTGCTGGAAGTGATTTTGCTCAATACTGACAGAATAATACGCTTGCTATTTATCAAAAAAAGAAAAAGTACCAAAAAGTAGACATGCAGTACCCCAGTACCTGAAAGACAGAAGGAGCCCAGTTGACAGAACTACCGAATGGGTCCCTCCACATTTCATGGCATTTATATATTGGTTGTGTGAAGGTAAAGTTAGACAAAGTATAAAAGTTAAACTTTTATACTTTGTCTAATAGGACTCTGGAGGGCCACCCCAATAAGATGAACTCAGCTCTGCTCAATATTAATTTAATCTCTTTATAAACATATTGGTGGGAGCCTCCAAAACAGTCCCAGTTTCTCATGTGGCCACTTGGGAGACTCCTGCCTGACCTCGTCTGTCAACCTGTCCATCACCACTGCAAACAAGAAGGGGTTCAGAGCTGATCCCTGATGTAATCCCATCCCCATCTTGAACCTTTTTCTCTCACCTGCTGCATACTACATGTCTGTCTTCCTGTCCTCATAAATGTCCATCACCAGCCTCAAATATATGCTACAACTACTTTCTCATTTGTAGTTCCTCTCTTGGCTCCCTATCATATGCTTTCTCTAGATCCACAAAGACAGTGCAACCCCAGCACTCACAAAGCAAGCATTATACTGTATCTGCGGTGCTCTTTCTCTACATGAATGAATCCACATGAATCATCTCTGCTGCTCTCCTTTGCTTTTAACCTTGGTTTAATCTTCGTTTTAACCTTTTTTTCACTTTGTCCTTGAAAATTTGTACCAGTACACTTCTTCTCCATTCTCCAGGCATCCAGTCATCTGGACCAACCGGCTTTTCAATCTCCATACTTTTTTTAGCTGCCTTCATTTCCTCCTTATTAATTCTCTGAACTTTCCTCTTCACTAACTATTCTCCATCTCTCTGCCTCTCTCTTTCTCTCATTTACTTCATTCATCCGCTCCTCAAAGTGCTCCTTCTATTTTGTCAACACACGCTCTTCACTTGTTCTTCCCATGTCTATTTATGTCCCTAATCGCCTTAACCTTTGAATACTTTCCTGTACTTACTCATTCCACAAAAACTATGGACAATGTTCTTCAACTTACACTGTTTAATTTTTGCCTCTATCATCACCTATTTTTCTTGAAGTGAGCGCTGTTTTATGTAGCATCACTTCCAAAGCCATCCTACAGGATACCATCAGATGCTACATTCTCCTCTGCCACTTGAGATAGGAGACCTTTAAGTCTCCTATCTCAAATTGCCCCTTCTGCAAATTGTGTAGCTCACTTCTGTGCACCTCTCAGATCCCTTGTGTGTTAATCTGTGTTCCTCAGAGGAGCTGAGAGGAAGGGAAACCAATTATTATAACTACCAAGTTATGCAGAAGAGCATCTTTGTTAAACCTTGAAAAAAAAAATGAACTACAGCAGCAGAAGACCACACCTGTCGGACTGAGGGCCCCACCTCTCAGTTAAGACTAAGACCCTGAGTCTACAGTTCACATGGACACATGGACAACAAAAGTTTAGCTTTTTTGAAAAAACAAAACACTGTAAACCAGCTTTTTATCTTAACTTTTCTTTGGTACAAGCATAAAACCTTGCATAGATAATACTCCATAGGAATGATGGTGTTTCTTGATGTAGACTTTTGAATTGTCATGTTAACTGTATCTCGTTTAAATAAAAAATATAAACTACAAATAAGTAAAAGAGATCTGAAAATGAATTCAAAAGTTCCAAAAGCTGTAACCTATCAGAAACTGCTTCTTCTCTTTGAAAGGTTGACCATAAAGCGTCTTGAAAGCAGAGAGTTAGATTAAACGTGCAGAGTGAAACTTCAGCTTCTACTCAAAAATGATCAAATGCCCTTAAAAAATACCCAAAGATATCAGGAGACATCGTTTCCATCTGGCAGTGTTTGTTTATTCAATGAGACAAAGTGAGGCGCATAAAGTATAAATCTTCAAACAGCAGGTGATGATACATCACAGCAATAACTTGTAAATGACTACAAGAAACACTGTACTCAAAGCGAGTAAAGGAACAGCTGTCTTTATGAAAGACAAAACGCCAAATTACTAAACAAAATAAAAAGTGACCTTAAAACAGATCAAAGGTTCTAATCACAATGTAATAATAACATCTACATAAAAATGTAAATAATAATAATAATAAAGAAATAATAATCATTGCTGATGCAATCAATTTGATTCATGCAACATACATGGCAAGATGTTTTCTTTCTTAACATGAAAAACAGTACTGGTGTCATTTACCAGGAAATTACACATTAAGCACACAAAGTAAAGACTTCTGTAACTACAGAAGAAAAAGTACAAAGAATTTCAAGGAATTCAGTCCAGTAATCTTTGACCAATATGGTCTTTTAAACCATTGTATTAGGGACTACTTTATGTGAGTCTCTACCACGGCCTCCACAGGGCGCTGTTGTCTTTCGTGGTGCTTGTCTGGACTGTGGAACTCAGAGGAAAGAGGTCATCCTCTCTCAGATTTTCATCAGAAGCTGTCTGCAGCTTGCTGAAGCTGTTCAGCAGGTTTCTCTGCTGCTGGTTCTGCAGCTGTAGCTGTGTGAGGAAGCAAACGGTCATCTCCAGGATGTCTGCCTTCTCCAGGTTGGAGTCTGGCTGCTGTTTGAGGAACTCTGGACCCAGGAGAGACTTGAGCTGCTCAATGCAGGTGTTGATTCGCTCTCTGCGTAACTTCTCCACCAGAGGCTTTCTGAGCTGCAGAAAAAAGAACAAAGTCATTAATAACATCATTTGGGAGGATGAAGTTAGCCTTAACAGAACACAAGCTTTCATGATTACTGGCATGCTGTGAATATTATGTAAATTCTATGTTCCACTTACCTTGTGAGTCATTGTCAGATGCTCTGGGGTACTGGTCATTGCTGCAGTGACTTTAGGTGCCATGCTTGGATTTCTGTGCTCTAGAAGTCTCTGTAGATAGCACCGATCTCTGCTGGCTTCATCCCTCCTATTTATACTACAGCATCTCCATATGAATGTGTGAGTCTTACTCTGATTCAGGTTTCCCACAGTCTAAACCAATCAGCGGGCTCTGTCAAACAATAAGGCATGTGGAGCCAGCAACATGCTCCAGTATGCCCAGGGGATAATAGGTTTCAGGGAAACAGCTGGAGGACTGGAGGGAGAGGGAGAGATAGGTTCAGAGTTCTATGTGAATCAGGGAAAGTGGTGACCTCCCAGGGAGGCCTGATGCTGGGATCGATAACTTGGCAACATAAACAAAACATAACTGTACAAACAGAACCCCGAACAGCCCTGACCTGCTACAATATATATCCTGCTGCTTTTACACACGCACTCACATAACGCTCAGCGATTCTCTGCACGATCAACCTCTCACATGTTTAAGCTTGCTGCGGGAGATTTCACTTGTCATGTTTGCATAGTAAGCTAACAATTGATAAGACGATGTCAGAGGAATTGGTGCGCAAATTATCATCACTCACCAATCAGTGCTGTCGCTCTCTATACACAGTTCGCGATTGCAAAGTGAAAGCAAAAAACAAGCACAAATTCAAACGCGATTTCAATATGTCACATATTGACAGTGGCTCACCGATGCCAAAGACATAATTACCCAGCTACATTTCCGAAAGAATGCAAAAGCATTGACATATATTTTTCCTTCCTACGATAGCCTGACGGGCAGGGCAGAGATAGATTTTGGTAGCCCGACTGGAAAAATCGCTAGCCCCGGGAAGTCGGGCAGGCGATTTTGCGAGCCCTGTATCTGATTGAGGAATCACTCATCTTTGGAAAAGAGAGTTTATTACAGAGAAATGTCTCTTTCCAAAATAAAAGCTATACTATATGCTTCTTCTGGGCTATATTCTCAGCAGCATATTAAATATATCAGGTCCCCATGAGGAGAATCATGTGCTAACGGCTGTCTAAATGACTCGGGTAAAGTTAGTAGCATGCGTGCTTGTTATTTTTGTCTGCTTCCACTTGTCTTTGCACTAGGATGATGTCGGTGTAAATGTGCAGTCATATTCGTTGTGTTCCCACTAGTGCTGTCAGCGTAAATCTCGTTGAAATGACGTTAACGCCACAACACGGCAAATCTCCGTTAATGAGCTACGCGGATGGCCTGTGCATGGGGCTGGACGGCCAACACGTTAACGAGCTAACTGCGCTAACACACTAGCTCCCACCCATGTAATTGAGCATTGCGTGGCACATCCAACATACTGTTTTACTTTAGTCCATGACGCGCTTACCTTCAGGGTAATACGTCACATGAAAACCAAAATAGTTCCAAACACCAGATCTGAATGAGGGTGGGGGAGGTTCAATTTGCCATGTTGCAAGGAGAGCTTAACTTCTGTCTCGGTAGCTTGCCCTGCGCTCAGTGAATCTGCATTCGACTACTCCGCCTAGGCTGCACTGTCAAGCGCAGATCCACTGAGCGCTCAACACAGACAGCATAGTCAGAAGGAAAGTTGATAAAATAGATTAAAAATTTATTTTGTATTGTTCGATACATATGGGTACCGAACCCCGAAAGCACTGTATCGAACACACACACACACACACACACACACACACACACACACACACACACACACACACACATATATATAAATTGGTGTAATTTTAATGGAAAATTTAATCAAATATTCAATTTATTACAACCTAATCTTTTAATAAACCATTATAAGTGTTGTGCCTATTGATTTTATTAAAATTACTGCTGAACCATTCTGCTGTCCTTTTGACACATGCTGTAAAGTCAATGGGAGTAGCAAGTTGATTTCAGTATCCCACACTGACTCTCTGTGCTGTGTTCAATGAGCTACAAAGGGACGTCTGTGACAGATGCTGCCTGTGTGTTGTCAAAGAAAGACAGCATTACATCACCAACCATCTGGAGGGAAAAGATCCCATTGGATGGCTGTGACAGATAGTTAAACTTACAATTACACTGTAAAATCCACCAAGAGTAAGATCAAAATATTTTGGCCTGTCCTACTTAAATTTACAATCACGATTGATAATTGACTGTAGTTTCAGCTGTGAGGGTGGGAAGCTTTCCGGGAGGGAAAAATTTCCCGAAGTGTGCCAAATCCCTCTGGAGAATTATCAAGCTGCTAGTGGAGTGATTGTCATTTACAGTCAACACTGTTCTCCAAAATTTTCCCACGCTTCCTCCTTTATTCTTGATTCTTTTTTTTGTCCATGATTGGTAAATCTCTTAAAATATACAAATATTCTTGAATTGTCCCTTCTGTTAAAAATTGCATACACTTTAAAGATGTTTTGTCTTCAAATTTTGTTTTACATCACATCATTGTTCCTACTTTACATATGAAATATGTTTTACACCTTATTATAAAATTTGTAGTTGTAGTGCAAGACAGTGATATGGTGATCCTACTTTGGGTAAAAGAGGAATAGCCAATATAACAGTTAAAAACATCAGTTTTTGAAGTCATGCTCCCATTTATCCTCTGTCCCTTCAGGGCAATGGTCTTGATCTATTGTTGCCCTGGGGGTCTGTGAGTCAGCTTCTTCTGGTTTCCCACACTCTGTCCTTTGACTGCTTTCCATGGAAGAGCAATAGAAGTGTGCCTTATTGAGTGTCACATCAGAGTGTCACGTGAATCCAGACTCCAAAAACGTTAAACTTCTTATTCACCTAAAGGTGATATAAATAGATATGCACAACATGTGTTTGAATTTTATTTGGTTTGATGACATGACTTACTATAATCAAACAGAGTAAAATTATATTAATAACACTCCTAATAATCACATAAAAGTGCTTTGTTTTGCACTAAACATGTATGTTTGGCTACAACAGCAACATTTTACAGGCATTTACAGTCAACTTAACAGTTAAGAAATAGAAGAACATTTGTCTTTGATCTTTATAAAGATGTTAGTGATTACATAAAATAATGAGTAGACATTGTTTTCAGCAGGCAGTCCGTTTATTCAACAATGATAAAAGCTCCAACAGGAAGTGATGATACATCACAACAGCAACTTGTGGATTTCGACAAGAAAAGCTGTAATCAGAAAGAGCTGTCTTTATGAAAGACAAAGTTTACAGCAGTTACAGTACTCAGTGTCTTTGACAAATTAATTTGAAATAACACAAAAATATTAATTAAAAACTCACTAAACAAAAACTGACCTTACAGGTCAATATTGATCAAGAGGTGCAAATATCACAATCACATTTTTAACCCACAATAAGGATCAAGAAAATTGTGACAGTAAGAAAACCTTTTAGAAAAAAAACCTCGTAAACATGTGGATCCTATAACAGATCAGCTTTGAATCATTATTACATTTTTGTTACAATCTGTCCTTAAAGAGGACACTTAAGTCACAAATATCATAACCAAAAGGTAATGAAAGCTACTATAACATGTACAGTAAGGATAAAGAATATTTCAGATTTCATTCATGTTACATACATGACAAGATGTTTTCTTCCTTAACACGAAAGGTACTGTTGCCGTCATTTCCCCTGGAAATGTCATCTTGCACACACACAAGAACACACAAAGTAAAGCCTTCTGAGCATACAGAAGAAGAAGTTCATTGAATTTCAAAGAATTCAGTCCTATCATGTTTGATCAATGTGGCCTTTTTAGCTCATCTATTAACTCCAGTCTGTAGGTGTCTACCACACCCCCAGAGGGCGCTGTTGACTGGACACTTGTCTGGACTGTGGAGTTCAGATGAGGGAACTCAACCTCTTGAGAGTTCTTCTCAGAGGAAAACTGCATCTTCTTGAAGCCAGTCAGTAGGTCTCTCTGCTGCTATAGCTGCATCAGGAAACAAACTCTCATTTCCAGGATGTTTGCCTTCTCACATTGCTGTTTGAGGAACTCTGGACCAAGGAGAGACTTGGACTCGTTGCAGCTATTGATTTGCTCTATGCGTAATCATCTGAGGTTTTCTGAGCTGCAGAATGAAGAACAAAGTTGTTAATAAACTTGTTAAAATTTAAAAAATGCAAGTGCCTATAATCAATATCAAAACTGGTTCAAATAAAATCCTCAGTTTACCTTGTGAGCCAGAGTCTGATGTTCCTGGGGATTGGTCATTGCTGCAGTGATTCTAGGCGCCATTCCTGGTTTTATGTCCTGCAGAGATCTCTGTGGAGATCTGTGTTCTGATCTCTGCTGGCTTCATCCCTCTTATTTATACTTCACCATCTCCATATGAATGTGTGGGTTTAAGTCTGGCTGAGATTTCCCACAGTCTGAACCAATCAGCGGGCTCTCTGACACAATAAAGCATGTGGAGCCAGCATCTTAGTCCTGTGTGCCTGGGTGATATTAAGTCCCAGAGGAGGAGACCTGGAGGGAGATGGAGAGGTACTTATTATGTGAATCAGGGAAAGTGGTGACCTTACAGTGAGCAGATCTGCTGCCTGATGCTCGGATCAATAACTTTGACTAAGCTAACACTCATGATCCCATTGCATGAGTGGGGAATGACAAACTTTTAATGTATGAGTTGGTGGCACTTTTTAACATGTCCCACAACTAAGGGTGTACTTGTAATTAAGTGAAATTTTAGCATATTTTATGTCAAATTACAAAGTAATTATATTTACCTGCAAATAGGTAGAGGACGTACACTAGAATAAGAGGGTAACGAGCCACGTTTTTACAGGAAATAAGGAATTAATTATGCTTTAAGTAAATTTAAGTAGTCTGTATGTAATTTGAAATATGTAGAAGTAATTTTAGGTGGTGCATAAGTAATTTTGTTTTAGAGGAAAGAAGTAGTAATTATATTTCAAGCCAATTTAAATAGTGCCTAAATTCTGTGTGTTTTGCAGGCAAGGTAACTCAAATTATGCTGTAAAATGTTTAGTACAGAATTAGTAATTTTAAGTGCAAAATTTCTTTCTCTAATCTTTTTGAAAAACAAACAATATTTCCTCTTCTTACCCTGTAAGTACAGAAAAATGGCACACTCCCATAAACTCCTTTTAAAACTCATGCTTAAACAGAGAAAGAAAAGATAATTAGACTTGGCTCCATCATTATAAGTTCACATAGGCTTCCAAGTGTATAGAACGTCTATCGTACACATTTATGTAATGAATATTAAAGGAAGGCCAAAGTGCTTAGACCTGGGCTGGTTTATAGTATTACTAAACATAT